ACCATGAAGGCTGGACTAGACCCGCTGAAGCGTCGACCGTTTCTGGCCGGCAACTTTCAGCGTCATTAAGCCACTGCGCCACCGCGTCCCCCAAAACTAATAATAGTGTTATGTTATTGGTACTGCTGAGTTCAATATTTTATTTAAAAGAGAAAAAGTGACTTATAGAGACCAACAGCTTTCCACAATGACAGAGCAAATACAAATCCATGAAATGCATTCAGTACTTTGGGCTTAATCAAGGCACTATTTATTTATTTATTTATTTATTAATTATTACAAGATTATATGGCTACCCATCTAGTAAAACACAATTCTGGGCAGCTTGCAACAATAATAAAATCACTAACAAGAAAACCAAGAAAAACCAGGCAAAATCCATCATCTTCATCCACTCATCTATGCAATATTAAGCAGTATTATGGTCCCATTTACAATAAGTTATGAGTATCTACATATCTCTCTTCCATTAAACCCAGTAAGAGTTTAAATACATAATGCTACCAAAATTGTACCCATTCATTGTTTTCTGAAGTTAAAAATAAATAATGCTACTAGATTTGTCTAAATTCTACATAAAATATTGAGGCATAGACAAATTACATCACCAAAAATGCTATGTCTTGTCAAGGCCATAGTTTCTCCAGTCATAATATACGTTTGTGAGAGCTGGACCATTAGAAAGGCTGCATAAAGAAAGACTGATGCCTTTGAACTGTGGTGCTGGAGAAAATTGTTGAGAGTACCTTGGACAGCAAGAACAAATCATTCAATATTTGAAGTAAATCTGAACAGCTCACTGGAAGCATTAAGAATGATGCTAATGCTTAAATATTTTGGACACCTAACATAGAAGCAAGAGTCTTTGGTGAAGACCCAGATATTTGGAAAAATCCAAAGCAGTAGAAAAAGAGGCCCACATAAGACAAGATGTCATGATACTACTGCTTCAAAGAAGCAGTTATTGATAGACTGTCCTGACAAATGTAGTTCAGTGGGTCACAAAGAATCAGAACAACTGAACAACTGCAACAAGATGATGTCCCATTCACTAAGTTCTGAAATGCATAAGCTTTCAAGACATTAAAGCAGCAACATACAATGAAGCAGCAACATACAATGTTAATAACTATTTCTACAAAGATATAGACACTAGGCTCTATCTGCTGGATATTCAGGTTCATTGCAAGTTGAGAGATCAGATCTCAAATAGTTTATTCTCTGAGAATGATAGTAATATAATATTTTTAATATAAATATGTAACAGATATGTTTTAAGGATTTATTTCAAAGGAAAAATTTTTCCTGTTCCTATACTAATTTCCTATTCCTATACTGTATTCTATTCCTACTCCTATACTGTTCCTGTACTAACTGGCAAACCAGTTCCACACATATTTTCTCACCTATACATTAATAAATAAATTATATGAATTGGAGAATCTGAGATGCAATTAATATGTGAGCAAAATAATATATGATACATTTTCAGGTCTTTTCTGTGATCAGCCTGTTCAGATATTATATTGTCCAGATACATGTACACTCTGTGTGACAAAGTGGTGTGTTCTATGAGGAAGAATTACATGAATCCAGTTAGCTCATTGCAAGAATCCATTCTCTTCCTTTGAAATAATGGACATTTTACCAACTTGGAATTTGCTATTTAATTACTAATTATATACTTTTAATATATTGCTGAAAACTAAAGAGAAATTGTATGTGGTGTATTTTTCCAATGATCCTGGCTAATTAAAATCAAAGACTGGATCTTTAAGACTGAATCTCTACACTAATACAAAATGGGAATATGGAAAAACAATGTGTGTTACTTTTTCTGTTAGCATCATTTATTTCTCAGAATTTGTTTCTGACCTAGTAGTTGCTATATTATGGACATTATAAATGTGGTTCTAACTCTTTATCACAAAATGATTTTAATATATTATTTCTCTTTAGTTATGTTTCGCTTGTATGACACCGATGGAAACGGTTTCCTGGACAGTTCGGTAATTGTATTAATTAATAACAGCATTCTTTAATATAGTATCAAGAACGAAATAATGAATCAGGACGTGTACACTGGAAATACAGCAAACAGTTTAATAAGACATATATTTTGAGTTGCATTGGGCGATAGTTACACTATTGGCATATCTGCATGTCCTGCTTAGCCTGTTGCCGGTATGGGTTATCCACCTGTTCCAGAGCGCAGGAGCAATGTTGTGTTCCTCCCACTCTTAGCCAAAACCCACCTTGTTTTCCAGCTATGATTCAAAAATAGTGTTTTTCTGCTCAAACCATCTTAAACTCCTCAGTGTGAATAGTTTCAAGTGCTCTATTCTGATTCGGTTAATAGACACAGCTGCAATTGGCTGCTTGACTTCTCATGCCCCTGTCCCTTTGGGTGGTCATTGCCCTGGGCTGCTGGGTTGCTTGTATTTCTGATCCTTTTTTTAAAAATATTTTTTAAAATGTTTACAACTTCAGAAGCAATCTGGACATCTGACCTAAAGTCATCTTTAAAAAGTCAGAAGCAGCATGGGAGGCAAGTAGCTTAGGCTGCTGTGCAGAAATGCCCTTAGTTCTAACTTAAATTAACCGCACTTGTTGACTCATAACAATTTATTTTTAAGATTATAACTCACATGGCTATTTATAATAAAATGTCCAGTTAAAATTCAAAACCTATCAAATCATATTCAAAGCAGCATAACAAAATGTCAAATAAAAGCAACAGTCAAAACACTCAAATTAAAGCAAACATCACAGAACTATCACAGAAATAAACCACAAGATAGCACACACACAGAGGATTTAAATGCTTACATATTGGATGGTTTTTGCCTAACACCTAAAAATTAACCATGTAGGTGTTAGGTAGATCTCTCTGGGGATCTGATAATTTCATAATTGGAGACTTCTACTAATTGGTTCCATTAAGTTCAGCAAGATGAAAGAGCGAATTAGTCTGGAACCATGATGTGATGGTTAAAATAGATATTTCTCATCAGTGAAATTATTGACGGGGTACTAATATTAATTACTTTCTAAAATACCTTTGCCTACTTTCTTTTCTTTTTTCTTTTTATACTGATATGCATTATATCAGTATATATATTTAATTTAAATAGGTTTCCAAGAATGAATTTAAACTTTAGTGCCTGTTCCCAGCTGGTATTACAACAATTTGTTTTGAAAGAGAACAATATTATGTATTCATTGTATTTTTCTACTGCCATAAACTACAACTCCTGAGGGTTTATATCATACTGTATATGGGACAGGAAGTTGTATATGCAGTTTCCACTTACACAACTTTGATTTAAGTCATTATAAGAAATGCTTGTGAATGAGAAAATAAAAAGAACAAGCATGGCAAAAAAATATCAAAGTTGTTGATTTACAAGTGATGTGTTGGAACTAACATATGGGGTGATATTGTATTGTTTAGTTAGTGGATGTATATAGCTGCTGTCTCAAAATGACTCAACATAGCATACAATTAAAAAGGGAAAACAAAAATAAACTGTCATAAAATATGAAACCAAACATATTGGACAGGCTCACAAAACCTCTTGACCCAATACATGAGAGTAAAACCAGGAGTTCAGGCTTTATGAATAATCACCAGGGTCTAATTATCTTTAGACTGCTGGTATTGTTATAGTACATGCACTTGATAACAAATTTAAGCAGTGGATTATATTATACATTTCCGAAATAAAGGATGATCCTAGTCTGAAATCCTACTTACTGCAACAACAAAATAGGTTAGCTGTTTTTGAAGTTTTAAAAAGGAAGCAGAACTGGTACCAATATTCAGTTTCTCATTGGCCTAGCTTCAGCGTTCAAATACTATGGCAGTCAGAAGGCTCTAACAGTCAAATTCAGCCATCCAGAAACTTCATTTGCTGTCCTATGTATGTCATGAATAATTAAGAATAATAAAGATACTGATTGCAGTATCTTAAAAACAGTTCAGGTGCATGTTTTAATTATGAAAGTGCAATGTTAGTACCATGAAGGATTGGCAGAGAGGTTTAATTCCTCTTTTGTCCTAAGCAGCTGTTGCATCTCGGTAAATTTTAGAAGTTTTTTTTTTTTCCTTTGTGCCATAGAAGATAATGGATTAAACCTGATCTCTTCACTTCTCATAATTCTGAAGTATCCTCATGGTTATTATTCTAATAACTTGCATGTTGATTAATTTGATCTAGCTATTGTTTGTCTCCAGTTTAACCGTCACATTGCTTCTGGACCTCATGGCCTTCTGAATCTTTCTGAATCAAAGAATCATAAGATTGAAAGGGATCTTAAACGTATTCTAGTCTAACCTTTACCCAGGCAAGAATCCTCCTAGACAAATGGTTGTCTAACCTGTGCTTGTAAATGTACTTCAGTTTCCACTGATTCTAAGCATTGTCCTTTCTGACTTGGTTTGGTGGGAATCTTAGAGCATGCTAATATTTGGAGTTTGCTGTACCACTAAAGAATAGTTAGTATGATTTGTAGGGTAGGTTTCCTTGAAATGTGCAACTCCCAGTTTTCAAAGCTAACTCACTCCAATGGTGCAACCTATATGGGAGTGTGAGTTAAAGCCAAAGTTCTTTCACTTATCTTGTTGATTTTTTAAAAAAAAATTAATCTGTTCTTAGCATTAGAACTTTACAATGCTATTTCTAAATTTAACTATTTCTAAGTATTCCTAACCCAAAACATTAGTTAAAATATAAAATATTCTTTTAGTTTGTATTATCATGATTCAGTTGAATTCTAGGAAAACAAAATTATCTTTAATTAACAAGGCTCTTTGTGTCTTGCTTTCATGTCCAGGAACTTGAAAACATCATTACTCAAATGATGCATGTTGCAGAATATCTTGAATGGGATGTCACTGAACTCAGTCCAGTAAGAATCATTGCAGATCAATTATTTCGTTAGCAATGGAAATATCTAGGGACTGTTCTACATAATTTGATTAAGTTACTGTTATGCTTATAACAGCTTGGCTAAAAAGTTATCTTTTTCTTCCATGTTGAAATGGACCATGAAACTTTTGGGAAAAAACTCATAACATTTAGGCCTGAAGACAAATAGATCTGAGCTATCAAAGAAGTGTCACTAGTGTAAAGAAAATTGTGGAAAATATAGTAAGCTTAGAATGCACATCGATCAATGGCAAAGATTCTTTTCTTAAAACAATATGGAATGAATATAACTATATCTATATCTATATCTATCTATATTGATATATCATGTAACTTTTCAAATATTTTATGCAGTTCAGTTGCAGGAGAGCAAAAACATATAAGCAGAACAAGCTTTCAAGAAATTTCCAGTGGAAAGTGTACTGATCAGTTGCTGAATGCAGTAAACAGGATTAAACAGTTATTTTTGCTTGATTAACTGTTGACTAATTATATGCACACACTAACTTTCTACCAAAGCACTCAATGCATCTTGCAATTCATTATAAACCTTTAATTTAAAAAGAATATGAGAGAGAATTCTTTAATGCTGTTACATATTAACCATACAGAATTGTCACAGATGATGGGCAGAACACCTTGGATGAGGCTTACTGAGTCATTCTTGCCTCTGTCACAGATGAAGAGTGGCAGATTTGCTACGTATTCTGCTATCCAAAGAGAAGCAGTTTATTATTTTAGCATGCAAGGTGGAATTTGGTTGTGGTAAAATGACAGCAAATCAGCATTCCCATTTTAATTTTACTGAGAATTGCTCTTCCTCTGTTAACATTAAGTATGTAAATACGGCACACAGTGAACATTTAGAAAGCATTTAAGGATTTTTTTAAAAAATCATATTTCTTCTGATAAAATCTGTTAATTTTTTAAAATAAATATTGCTATATCAGTGATAGAGGAACTTTTTCAGGTGCTGTCATGCAATTTGTTTTGATGGTACAGGTACATATTACGCATAGGTTTAAATTACATGAAGCTGCCAACTCATGCAGGATGTTTGTTTTCTTGACCCAGTGTTGCATACGTTCCCATTGTTGTCCATAAAATTTTGTGACATTGGCAATCTTGTTAAAGTTTCATTGTTTAGGAAAAAAACTCTAAGGAGCCAGTGGGTGATGCAGTCTATTTGATGCCATATTTTCAAACTCTATTAGAACATAAAAATGACACTAAGATTGAAATGATGTATGTCATTGGATTTATTTTGAGTAGACTTGCACAGGATTATACTATTAAAAAACTGAAATATATAAAGAGCTATTGCTTGATTTTCTTTTCACTCCATAAAATTATGTGAGACTTGGAAAAATGTTTTAGTAACTTCAAAAATGCTTTACAAGACATATTGTCTTCGATTTTCATGTGAAACAAATATTAGTTTTTATGTATTATTTATCTACTCCTGTCATTTATTTCAGGATCAATTTTTTTTTTAATTAAATCAGATTCTTCATGAGATGATGGAGGAAATTGATTATGACCATGATGGCACAGTTTCCTTGGAAGAATGGATCCAGGGGGGAATGACTACGATCCCGCTTTTAGTATTGCTTGGATTAGAGAATGTAAGAATCATCATAGCGGTAATAAAATGATAACTCTCAAACTTAGAAAAATGTATGCATTCTAGCATTTCTGTTGTGCAAATGAGTAAATATTACATTCATGGAAGAAGAGCATAAGCATATTTTAGAAATATTTATTTCTAACAGAACTGCTCCTGTCTGTGCTCCTGCACTCTGAAGATGCCGGTCACAGTTGCTGGCGAAAC